GTTGTTAGAGTTGTATCAAATATCTGTTATTGTATTGATGTTGTTGGAGTTGTATCAAATATCTGTTATTGTATTGATGTTGTTGGAGTTGTATCAGATATCTTTTATTGTATTGATGTTTGTTGGAGTTATATCAGATATCTATTATTGTATTGGTGTTGTTGGAGTTGTATCAGATATCTATTATTGTATTGATGTTGTTGGAGTTGTATCAGACGTCTTTTATTGTATTGATGTTGTTGGAGTTGTATCAGATATTATTGTTGTATTGATGTTGTTGGAGTTGTATCAGATACCTGTTATTGAATTGATGTTTGTTAGAGTTATATCAGATGTCTATTATTGTATTGGTGTTGTTGGAGTTGTATCAGATATCTATTATAGTATTGATGTTGTTGGAGTTGTATCAGACGTCTTTTATTGTATTGATGTTGTTGGAGTTGTATCAGATATCTATTATTGTATTGATGTTTGTTGGAGTTATATCAGATATCTATTATTGTATTGGTGTTGTTGGAGTTGTATCAGATATCTATTATTGTATTGATGTTGTTGGAGTTGTATCAGACGTCTTTTATTGTATTGATGTTGTTGGAGTTGTATCAAATATCTGTTATTGTATTGATGTTGTTGGAGTTGTATCAGACATCTTTTATTGTATTGGTGTTGTTGGAGTTGTATCAGATATCTATTATTGTATTGGTGTTGTTGGAGTTGTATCAGAGATCTATTATTGTATTGGTGTTGTTGAAGTTGTATCAAATATCTGTTATTGTATTGATGTTGTTGGAGTTGTATCAGATATCTATTATTGTATTGATGTTGTTAGAGTTGAATCAGATACCTGTTATTGAATTGATTTTTGTTGGAGTTATATCAGATATCTATTATTGTATTGGTGTTGTTGGAGTTGTATCAAATATCTGTTATTGTATTGATGTTGTTGGAGTTGTATCAGACATCTATTATTGTATTGATGTTGTTGGAGTTGTATCAGATATCTATTATTGTATTGATGTTGTTAGAGTCGTATCAGATATCTGTTATTGAATTGATGTTTGTTGGAGTTATATCAGATATCTATTGTTTTATTGATGTCTGCTAGAGTTGTATCAGATATCTGCTACTGTGTTGATGTCTGCTAGAGTTGCATCAGATATGTGTTATTGTGGTGATGTCTGCTAGAGTTGTATCAGATATTTGTTATTGTGTTGATGTCTGCTAGAGTTGTATCAGATACCTGTTATTGTACTGATGTTTGCTGGAGTTGTATCAGATATTTGTTATTGTACTGATGTTTGTTGGAGTTGTATCAGATATCTATTATTGTATATTTTTTTGTAGTTGTATCAGATATCTTTTATTGTACTGATGTTTGCTAGAGTTGTATCAGATATCTGTTATTGTATTGATGTTTGTTGGAGTTGAAAACATTGTAAGTTACATGTAGTTTCCAACAAATTATAAATACAGACACCAACCTGAAAGGATAGATTCCGCTCACTTGAAATACACTATTACTTGAAAAAGTAAGAGATTTGTTGTCTGTCATATTGACAATAAAATGCTGGTTTTGGTGATACGGGAGAAAGACATCTGGTCAGTAACTCATTTTATCGATTCTTATCACACAAGTTTAACATTTTCAGTCCGTGTCAACTTTCAATCTCAAAGAGGATAGGACTTGACCCCTAGTGATCGATATCGTAACTAAGACGTAGGCCACTATAGAGGATAAAAATCATTGTACTTATCGGGAATGTTGCATAGCTCACCACCAGAGGGTAAGACGTGTGTCGACCTCAGAAAATAGGAAGATGGGTTGGGTCGAGACGATGATGTTATAGTTCCACGAAGTAGAACCAGAGGGCGTGTTGCTAGACTGCCATATCAGGCGTAAGTTGTCATGTTGCCATAACACTTGACAGCCGGAAGTTGTTATTCTGCCATGACATTTGAAGACAGAAGTTGTCTACTACCAAAGTGCGCATTGCCAAGGCCACGAAGTGGCAACAGAGGTCGCGCTGGTATTATGAGCGAGCGAACCATCAGAAGGTGATGTAGATCAACATGACATCAATTGTATACTAACAATCAAAGTCTTAAAATTAATATATTAATCTAATTTCCATAACACTGTTTTAACAATTACATTTCGATCTATAAGTAAAACATTAAATCTGCTATTATAATTTTTACTCTTATATTGCATATGTTTTACAAAGGCGGATGGTGTTCTATAGGTGGATAGTGTTACTATTGGCGGATGGTGTTCTATAGGTGGATAGTGTTACTATTGGCGGATGGTGTTTGAATAGGCAGATAGTTGAATGAATGATGAGGGTGCCTCTACTTGTGATTATGTCATCAATGTCTAGATTTAATTATACATCTAAATATATACATTATACATCTATTTATTTGTATTGGTTTAGCATAATAATAAAAATGTTGTTGACAAAATATTTCGTTATATTGTAGTTTTCATTTATAAATGTATTTGTATTACAAAGGTGGACAGAGTTTCTATATTTCTGTAGATGACATACAGATTTCAAATTCATTTGTAATTTTTATTTATTGTTTATTGTTAACTGTATTTCATTCTATAGGTAGGTAACGTTACTAACATATTTAAATTGCCGTTGAAAAGTTTTTATCACATCTAATGTTTCATTTTATAAATACTGAATGAGACAGCTGATTGTGTTTTAGTACACATTTCTGGCCCGGCATGGCCAGGTGGTTAGGGTGCTTGACTCACAACCTGAGGGTTGCAGGTTCAAATCCCTGTCACACCAAACATGCTCACCCTTTCAGCCATGGGAGCGTTATAATATGACGATCGATCCCACCATTCGATGGTAAAAGAGTAGCCCAAGAGTTGGCGGTGGGTCTTTCACTGGTAAATTAGGGACAGCTAGTGAAGATAGCCCTCATGTAGCTTTGCACGAAATTCAAGCAAACAAACTAGAAATAAAGTACACATTTAACATAATGATTATAGTTTTTACTAGATGATATATTTATTGCATTTCCTGATTTTTATATGTAAAAAACTTATTGCTAATTAATATATATCTATAATTAATAGATAACATCTATCATCCTGAAAAGGACGCTTATTTAAATCTTATGTTTGGCTCTGTAAGTTGATTTGTTCTAAGAAAATTTATAGGTTCTATGTAAATAGTTACTATTCTTAACTTTCACAAATCGTGTTTCTCGATGGATTAGGCATAATGCTGACTGGTTTCTACCAAAATATATCAGTACATATGCAAACTAGCTTTCTCCTGCAATAGACGATGAAAGGTAAACGTCTGTCTCAGGTCGCGTACTCGCCTATCTGACTGAACATAGCTGACAGGCTCGATAAATTTTGACTTTAGGATGTACAAAGGGCATGATAGATCATCACATGGTCAGTTACCTCTTTAAACCTGTCTGAAATTAAAAGGTTTTGTAACACATACACACACACACACGTGCGTGCGCGCATATATATAATACTAGCTTGTAACAACATGCACGAGACTAAAGTCATGACCCTTTAAAAAATCTATATTTGTTGACAAATCTGATTTTCTATTCCCGTATGTTTTAAAACCAATTTGTGTACACTATAACAAATACATGTATCACTTCATCAGTAACACAGATGAACTTACTTTATATAGAATACAGTGTAATTATTGTATTTTAACCGTACTCTACAACAAAACTATTTTATATACTGTACTCATATATTTTCTGCCCTTTGCGGCTTTCATTAGTTACATATGTGTTTAGACATAATTTATCATAATTCATGATAGTCAATTTGCTTACTTTAGATCTTGACTTTTCAAAGTTTAACTTTGTTAGTTTTTCAAATATTAACAAGTTTCTGATCACATTTTAAAATTGTTCATCGATATTTCAGACTTAGAAAATGTAATTTTTCGAAATAGATTTTTGAAACAATGTTAGGGTAACATGTCTTTGTCAAATCTTCAGTTACAAATTAGTTTCTGTGATTTTCTTATATATATAAAAATCTCGTTTCATCACAGCACAGTATATTTTAAACAGATATTAATATATGTAAGTAAAATCTCACACTAATATACTATTTACGTAATCATCTTAGTATATAAGATAAAACAAACAGCTAAAAACAATTTCAATACTGGTAGCCATTGTAAACAATACGTTAGGTAATCAGATGAAATTATTGACTTCAAGACTTTGATTGTTACCATAAAGCTGATGGCACGTTGATCTACATAACCCTCTGGTGATTAGCTCGCGAAATATCTGCATGATCATCATACGAACACGTCCTCTAAGACAGCCGCGTCCTCTAGCAATGTAACCTTAGCAACACGCTCTCTGGTGGCAGAAAACTTCTGCTGATCAATTTAATGGCGACATGAGAACTTCTGCCTGTCAAGTGCCACGATAACTACTGATATTGTATTCTTAACATCATGATCTTATATTCTTCTCACTGTGATCTTGTATTCTTAGTTTAGCTATTTAAATGTAAGCCTAGTATACACATCGTATAATTTAGTTGGGTGATTGTAAGCCAACCCATTAATTGCCTGATCTTAACATAGTATGGTTATCATGTTCATGCAAAAGGCTTTATAGGTCAACAGTTACAGGGATAGCTAATACTCTTGTACAGCTAGGAAGTAAAGCACTGGGTTTTTAGACAGAACTCTTGGGCTCAAGTTCCCGTCCCGAAGTCTGTTTTCAGCTGTCTTCATATTAAAGTTTATATTTAAAATAAATACTGTTTGTTTGTTTGCAATTAAGCACAAAGCTACACAATGGGCTATCTGTGTTCTGCCCACCACGGGTATCGAAACCAGGTTTCTAGCGTTTTAATTATGCAGACATGCCACTGTGCTATTGGAGGCAAATAAATACTGATATTCATATAAAAACGAATATAAGATGTAGAACATTAAAGGTAAGATATTGAAATCTAAATGCTTCTTCCATTTTAGCTCCAGCCAAAACAATATTGGTGAACCATAGCTTGACCTCGACAAACGATCTCGAAGTGTCTTGTTCAGCAAATGGCCTCTTTCCTAGGCCGCAGATTGAGTTATTCGTGTCCGAACCTGGAAAGACTGTCCCTCGTTCTGTCGGCGGGGCTTCAATTAATATTGTCCCTCGTGAGGGAGTGTTTGATATTGAACTGAGAAAGATCTTCAGTATAAAAGAACTGTCAACCACTGAAGCCACTATTTTTGAATGCTTCATTGAAATACCAGGAACAGATTATGTTCGAGTCGAAAGGAAACCTTACATTCCAGGTGAGACAAGTTAAAATATTTAATTCATATTACAATAAACATCATAATATAACCTCTCATTCTAAGTGAGACAAGTTAAAATATTTAATTCATATTACAATAAACATCATAATATAACCTCTCATTCTAAGTGAGACACGTTAAAATATTTAATTCATATGAAAATAAATATCATAATGTAATCTCTCTTTCTAGGTAAGACAAGTTAAAATGTTTAATCGATATTAAAATAAATATCATAATGTAATCTCTCTTTCTAGGTAAGACAAGTTAAAATGTTTAATCCATATTAAAATAAATATCATAATGTAACCTCTCATTCTAGGTGAGACAACTTAAAGTATTTAATCCATATTAAAATAAATATCATAATGTAATCTCTCATTCCAGGTGAGACAAC